TGTAAATCGAATAGACTTAAGCTAATTGATTGATTTTGATTGATCAATGGGCCATCTTATCTTTTTTGAATCTTTGGTAATCCAGCTAAATTGTAAATCTTGTTAATATCAGCAATCTTTGTCCTAGTGTTTGTTCATTATAAAGTTTTGACGTATGTAATGTTATCAATGCTCAAAACAACCACAACAGGTTACCGCAGTTGTATGATTAATAAGAAAAAAATTGCTTAGTTCGAATGCTTGCTCTGTAATCAATAACGATTTAACTTTTGATTGTTCCGACAGTCCACTAAGAAAACCATGGCAAAACGGCGCAGATTCGCAGGTATGCAAATCTAAAGATGAGATACTGAAATGTTTCTTCCTAGCCTTTCGGAAAATTCTAATAGTAGAATTACCGCTAGCAATTCATGTGTCAAGTCTTATCATGTATAATTTATTTCACCGATAATTAAGTTTCTCATCACACACATTCTGTTGTGGCATTAAACTTTTACATTCGTATTTATAAATGCACTATTTTCAATTTTTGTATTTGCATATTATTTTTTCTTTTACCTCATAAAATGTAGTGAAAATATTTCCGGTAATTTGAAACATAAATCATTATCGTTATTCATACTGATATATTATTATTAATTATTAGTAAAGATTATATTTATTAAAAGTTAGGTATTTTAAATACTGTTATTAGTGAGAAAAATAAAACTGTCACATTCAGAATTGTATGAATTAAAATTTTTCATACCAGTAAATGTAAAAAGTGACAAATATGCAATCAATTATCACGATTTTATAAATAATAGGTATTCTAAAAATTACGTAAATGAAATAGAAATCTATATAAAAATATATATTACTTATTTAAGAACAGACATGCTATAGAACAAATCTACATCACACATATTGTAAGACTTTATTTATTATGTCACATCGTAAATGTAGGCCATATTAATAGTACTGTTAGTCTATGTTTAATATTTGGAACATATACTTAGAGCAAACCATTTTCGATGTTTGATGTTGATGTGAAAAGTGTTAGACACACACACACATAATGTGTTTTATAATATTATAAGATAAAACTTAAATACAATTACTATCTTATAATTATAATTAACTAATTATAGTTTTTATATTTGAATTTGTCCTATTTATGATACAATTATATCATATAATACAATCTTATGATCTAATCTTATAAATATAAGTGTTTAAGACTATTTAAAATGTCGCGTGAATTTTAAGTAATTCACATGATATTTTACATTTTCTATATAGTATTATTAGTTGTTTGTAAAATTTTATAATATTCACGTATATTATATTTAGATATGTTCCAAAAACATGCACAGTAGCTATTGTTGGCTTTATATTTTATTTTGTGACTATATATTATTACGAATATTGCATCTTGCGTATCTTGGCACACACACAATATGGCTAGAAAAATAATTTCTATTCCCATCTTTAATTCCTGCCGATGACACGAAACTGGCTGTTAAATCCATTGTAGGTGTATAATGTATATATTAATTTCTGAATAAAGTAAATAGTCAATACGTTACTTTTGCAAAAAAAA